GGCACTGGTGAGAGAGGGCCTCCTCGTGGGTGGTGGTTGTAGTGAGTGTATCACAGGCTGGCACTGGTGAGAGAGGGCCTCCTCGTGGGGTGGTTGTAGTGAGTGTATCGAAGGCTGGCACTGGTGAGAGAGGGTCTCCTCGTGGGGTGGTTGTAGTGAGTGTATCGAACGCCGGCACTGGCGAGAGAGGGCCTCCTCGTGGGTGGTGGTTGTAGTGAGTGTATCGAAGGCCGGCACTGGTGAGAGAGGGTCTCCTCGTGGGTGGTGCTTGTAGTGAGTGTATCGAAGGCTGGCACTGGCGAGAGAGGGCCTCCTCGTGGGTGGTGGTTGTAGTGAGTGTATCGAAGGCTGGCACTGGCAAGAGAGGGCCTCTTCATGGGGTGGTGGCTTGTCATGAGTTTATCGCGGAAAATCAAGTAGGATGGGGATTCTTTGGAGGCACTTTACTCTCTGCAGCATGGACGTGGTTTGGCCAAGAAGCAGCAGGACGAAGAATGATTTAAGGGTCTTAACAATTGATCCCTAGTATGGCCCAGGATAAATCAGTGCTGAGGACTGCTGGGAACATGATAACCCTTTCTGAACATGAGGAGACGGAGGTATAATAGATAGAAGTAATAACCATGGTGAGGAATCATTCTTAGCAGGTAGGAGATGGGGGGTGTGATGTGGAGGTCCTGGTGTAGGCCTGTGTTACGCTGAGAGTTGTATAGTCAGTCCTTTTGTGATGTAGGGACAGCTCACCCAAACCTGCAGTGCTTGGCTGAGACTGGATGTCAGCTGTACATGGGAAACCAAGGGCACCTCCAGGGATCTTGGTACCAATCATGGCCCCTTGGAATCCTGAAGATGAAAGTCATCCCATGTTCGTGGCATTTCATACAGCCCTGCCTGCATCTTGGGTGGCTCACCTCAAAGGGGGTGTGGCTATTTTTTTGGTTTTTTTTTTGAGACAGAGTCTCACTCTGTCGCCCAGGCTGGAGTGCAGTGGCGCAATCTCGGCTCACTGAAAGCTCCGCCTCCCAGGTTCACGCCATCAGCCTCCTGAGTGGCTGGGACTACAGGCGCCCGCCACTGCACCCGGCTAATTTTTTGTATTTTTAGTAGAGACGGGGTTTCACCGTGTTAGCCAGGATGGTCTCGATCTCCTGACCTCGTGATCCGCCCGCCTCGGCCTCCCAAAGTGCTGGGATTACAGACGTGAGCCACCGCGCCCGGCCGGGTGTGGCTCTTTTTAGCTGCAGCAGGTGGTTCCATCCTCTGCGTGGTTTGAGGCGGTGGTTCCGCTTCCCCTTGCTGTGTTGTGCCGTGCAGACTGCGACACAGCGGCTCTACCCCTGTGGCGTGGGGCTAGTTCTTCACCCAGGGCACATGGCACAGGCATTTTAGGGACTGGGAAACAGGCAGAATTCTTGGTCTCTTCTTGAATAAAGGAGGTGCGTGGATGTAGGCCATTTAAAATGTTCCTCTGGCTTAATTTGGGAATTTGAGCTTCATCCTGTATGGGGTTCAGAAAGAATTTCAGCTGCTACAGCCTAGCTATCCCTCTACACCTCACGCCCGCCTGCCCCAGTCCATCTGTGACAGAACAGCATGTAAGTGAGTGAGAAGTAACGTGATGTCATTGTCATCTGACTTATGTGAAAGAAATAGCAGGTATTTTGGAGTGACTCTTAGAAAGTGTATGAAGTTCTGCAGCATGTGTGACATTTCTTGCCTGATGAAGTTCTGTTCTAGCCTGGGGAGTCACAAAAGGCAACCGTTTCTTGTGTCTGGTGTTGCAGAGCCATGCCCTCCAGAAGCAGCCGCGTGTCTGCTGGGTAGCTCCAAGCCCGTGAACCTCGGCAGGGTAAGGGACGGACCTCAGTGGAGAGATGGCGTAATAGTCCTGAAATACGTCGATGGCGACTTATGTCCAGACGGGATTCGGAAAAAGTCAACCACCATCCGATTCACCTGCAACGAGAACCAGGTGGTAAGGGACTGTTCCTGCGCCTTCTGCTATTGCAGCTTTGGGATTTCGGCCCCTGTGCAGGGCAGTGAGCCCCACGTCCTCATCTGCCTTGGGACGTGAGTTCTAGAGCCTGGGATGATGCACCCTTACCAGAGGCTGGGGAAACAGCGTGGCTGCGGCCTGCAGTCTGGGGAACCCTCATGCTGTCTGGCTCCTTAGAAGCTTGCCTGGCAGTTCCTGACTCAGAATTGGTTCTCTTCAGAGTTGGACTCAGACCCCGCGAAGGCTGTAGGGGAGACTGTTGTTTGACTACATGCCCTTTGTCTTCACGGCGGCAGGTTGGGAAGCACGAGAAGGTTGGTTGGGCCCAGGTCACAGGTAGCGCTGCCACTTCCCAGCCACGTAACTTGGTTAATTACTCAGGTAGTGTGCACTGCTCCCTCATTCATAACATGAGGTATACTTGTCTTGCCCGTTGCGGGGTTTCGAGAGAAGAGGTAGGAAGTGCCAGGTGTCATTTCTGACACACGGGAGGTGCACAGTCAGTGAGCATGAGTGCCTGTGATCAGTTCTTCCCTTACTTGTTTGGCATGCACGTCAGCAGGTGTCGACGGCACGCCGGTTTCTCTGTGTGTGAGATTGTGATGAGCCCCAGTGCTAGCGTGCATGATGAGCTCGGTGGCTGAGTTGGGCATTAACTCGGGCAGGACCAGCCCGCTGGGTGTCAGGGTGGCTCGCCCCATGCTCTCCAGGGTGGGCAGCAGTAGTAGAGGAGCTTGGGATGGGAGTGCTCCAGGAGCTTCAGGCCTGCCCTCTTGCCTGGAGCGGCAGGGAAGTTTCCTCCTGGAAAGATTGTGCAGAGGCTTAGCCCAGACTCATGAGCTGCTGGGGCCCCTGAGCATTCTCCTCTCTGATCTGAGAGGCTCAAAGCCGAGGACAAAAGGGCTGCTCCACGTGTAGGGGACAAAGGTGAGAGGTTGTATGGGGCCCCTGTGCCCAGGGCCCAGAAGGCTGGGAGGGAAGGGTGAGGGTGGTGTGTGAGGTTCCCCATGTCCAGATCCCAGGAGGCTGGGAGGGAAGGACGAGGGTGTTGTGTGGGGGCCCCTGTGCCCAGGATCCAGGTGGCTGGGGGGGAAGAGTGAGGGGTGTGTGGGGGCCCTGTGCCCAGGACCCAGGAGGCTGGGAGGGAAGGATGAGGTTGGTGTGTCGTGTCCCCTGTGCCTAGGATCCAGGAGGCTGGGAGGGAAGGATGAGGGTGGTATGTGGGGGCCCCTGTGCCCAGGACCCAAGAGGCTGGGAAGGTAGGGTGGGGGCTGTGTGGGGGCCCCTGTGCCCAGGATCCAGGAGGCTGGGAGGGTAGGGTGGGGGGTGTGTGGGGGCCCTGTGCCCAGGGCCCAGGAGGCTGGGAGGGAAGGGTTAGGAGTGTGTGGGGGCCCCTGTGCCCAGGATCCAGGAGACTGGGAGGGAAGGGTGGGGGGTGTGTGGGGGCCCCTGTGCCCAGGATCCAGTTGGCTGGGAGGGAAGGATGAGGGTGGTATGTGGGGGCCCCTGTGCCCAGGATCCAGGTGGCTGGGAGGGAAGGGTGAAGGGTGTGTGGAGGCCCCTGTGCCAGGGCCTGGGAGGCTGGACTGCAGTGTGGCTTATCAGGGTGCCCAGCAGGAATCATGGGGTTTACCTGGGAAGGAAGGTGCTGCTGAACTCATCAGGCCAGCTCTGTGGTGGACATGAAGTATTTTGGGATGAGCAGCGTAAGCCTTGTCTGGGGCCAGTGGGAGGATGCGTAGAATCGGCTAGTTCTCTTGGTGGATCTTTTTGTTTTAAGTGTGATAACGGATTTTACCTGATTTGGTTTTTAGAATTTTATCAGTGATTGCTACATTTGTGTCTCCTGGTAGCCCTTCCAGCATTCTTTGCACGCCTGTCCCCAACCCCTGTCCTGTTCCTCAGCCTGAGGGACCTTCCTGGTCCCCTAAGTGGGTTGTTGCCTATGGGTGTTTCAGTTACCTGCAGGGGAAGCCCATGATGGCAGCTCAGGACACATTCTGACCCTTTGCTTTTCCCAGTCTGCGCCTCATCCCACAGGCACGTGGAGACAGAAATGTCACATGCTGTGGAGTTTTTCAGAGAAACTTCCACTTGTAAGTTGAAATCATGATAGACGTGCAATTTTTGCGTGATCCCTTCAGGACCTGTCTGTGCTTTGTTGTAGAACTCCAGGCCCATGTTCATCAGCGCGGTGGAGGACTGTGAGTACACCTTCGCCTGGCCCACGGCCACAGCCTGTCCTGTGCAGAACAACGAGCATGACGACTGCCAGGTCACCAACCCAAGCACAGGTGAGAGGTGCCAGTCGCTAACCCCAGCGCAGGTGAGAGACGGTGCCCTCACCAAACCCAGCTCATCAGGGGAGAGACCTAAGGAGAAGCTGTGGGCAGCAGGCGCCCTGGGCAGAGGTGTCGTGGTGTGTAGGTGTGTTTGGCCTTTCTCTGGATGGGCCGCTGTGTGTTCTCCTGGCTCTCCTTCAGTGGAGGAGAGAATGTTCCCTCAGAGAATCCATCTCCCCTGTCGCTCTCCTGGTGTGAGAGGTGCTCCTGGCTGGGGGTACTGACTGTGTCAGCCCAGCAGCTCTAGGCTCACCAGGGCAGGCTAGAGCTGGCCCCTGGCTGCCTTTCAGCGTCAGCGTAGTGGATTGCCGGGAGTCTCCCACCTGCCCTTGTGCTGGGCACCCAGAAAGGCACAGGCACAGTCCATTGGCAGCCAGAGGTGTGCTGGCAGCCTCTCCCCCTGCCCACGGGAATCTTAGTGGCTGCTGTGGTATGGCCCAGCAGAGGGTGCTGTGAGCCACGATCTTTTCAGCTGAAGATGGGACATCTCATGGATCACGGGACTGACAGTCTCATGATACAGCCTGGCTGTTGGTGGAGGATTTAGGACAGGGGTCGTGGTGAGAAGTCAGAAGTCCCAGTGCTGGCATAATCTGCACATGAGCTCGCCAATGATGAGCCTCCCAAATCTAAGCTCCCTGAAGTCACTGTGTCCCCATCTTCTTCCACCCTTCAGGACACCTGTTTGATCTGACCTCCTTAAGTGGAAGGGCGGGATTCACAGCTGCTTACAGCGAGAAGGGGCTGGTCTACATGAGCATCTGTGGGGAGAATGAAAACTGCCCTCCTGGCGTGGGTGAGTCTGTGTTCTCTCGTGTGCTGTCTGACTCTCCTGTCCTCCGGGGTTGTCCTCGGCCTCTTTGCATGCCGACGGCAAAAAGGATGAGCAGAGCCAGGAAGCTGAGACACTTCGTCTCCTGCAGCAGTCAGCCCATGTGGGGGACACATGGCCGTGTGACGGAATGAACATTCAATGTAAAACAATGGTTAAAGCCAGATTGGACACTTGAAGTTACAAGTGCTGGCTATGAAATTGATGGTCCTGATTTGCAGAAAGTTCTCATCAGAAAATTGGCCATTGAGTCTGTGATTGTATTTTCTCTGCCTTTCCTTTGTGGTGCAGGGGCCTGCTTTGGACAGACCAGGATCAGCGTGGGCAAGGCCAGCAAGAGGCTGAGATACGTGGACCAGGTCCTGCAGCTGGTGTACAAGGACGGGTCCCCTTGTCCCTCCAAATCCGGCCTGACCTATAAGAGCGTGATCAGTTTCGTGTGCAGGCCTGAGGCCGGGCCAACCAATAGGCCCATGCTTATCTCCCTGGACAAGCAGACGTGCACTCTCTTCTTCTCCTGGCACACGCCACTGGCCTGCGAGCAAGCGGTGAGTTTTCAGATGGGCACGGGAGAAGTGCATGTCCAGTGCCCAGCTGCACCCGGGCCCTTTCATGAGCTTCATTTGCCCGCTAATAGATGCTCAGCTGACCTGTGCACTCCTGATCGCCCCAGTAATAAAGTTGACTGGAAGTGCCCAGTGCTATGTAATGAAGCATTTTGACACCTTTCTTTTTTTGTCATTGTTATTCAGCTTTTAAATTCGTATGGGTGACCTAGTGGTGATTAGGAAAATTTTTTTGTAGACTCAAAGCAGTCTTTCCTTACTTAACAGACGGAATGTTCCGTGAGGAATGGAAGCTCTATTGTTGACTTGTCTCCTCTCATTCATCGCACGGGTGGTTATGAGGCTTATGATGAGAGTGAGGATGACGCCTCCGATACCAACCCTGATTTCTACATCAATATTTGTCAGCCACTAAATCCCATGCACGGAGTGCCTTGTCCTGCTGGAGCCGCTGTGTGCAAAGTTCCTATTGATGGTCCCCCCATAGTAAGTACGACAAATCCAAGGGTGGAGATCATTTTTGCAAGAGTTTTAGTGATAACCTTTGCATTGTTTCTTGCCTTAAGTGGAGAGTTGCTCAAGCATAAAAAAATGGAGAAAGTAAGTGGAACTATGTGTGTTCTGGGTCCACTACAGGAAGATTAAAGGTTTGCACGTTGAACTATCAGCTGATGATGGTAGCCAGTCGTTGAGCATGGGAGATAACATGAATATGTGTATAGGGACTCTACCTGTCATGAGCCTCAGGGTTGACCCAAATCAAGAAGTTTTTAGGTAAAGTGACAGGAAAGCACATTGGCCTAGCCTGGTTTCTTTGTATGAAATGCCTTGTCTTCTGCAGTTAAAACGCGTGTGAAATGCAAACAGTTTCTTTGGCAAGGAGTTAATAATTAAGGGCAAGAGTACGTTTGCTAATAGCTAAATATTTTGCCTTGAAAGCTTTGGTTTTATGCATTAAAAAATTATTTTGTAGAGATGGGAGTATTGCTATGTCGCCCAGCGAGGCTGGCCTTAGGCTCCTGGCCTTAAGTGATCCTCCTAAAGTGCTGGGATTACAGGCATGAGCCATAGTGCCCGGCTTGCTAGCATGTTTTAATGGAAATTTGGGTCTTTAAAAATTGTCTCCGTGAGTTATATTCATATTTTGTCAAATCCTTGGTATGTTTTCATACTTGAATGTGTCTCATAAGTCATCTGTATTTCTATCTGTATCATCTATTATGCTTTAAGGATGTGAAATATATTGTAAAATATCTGGATGCCCTTTAGAAGATGGACATTATATGTGGCGGTGATACGGGGAGATGTCAGGAGTGAGTAAGGAGATCGGCCACAGTGTGAATTAGCACAGCTCCAGCTCTGTGTGAGACAGAGGCCTGGACAAGCTGAGTCTCCCCAGGAAGCTCTTTGGTAGTGTCCTTTCTGACAGCGCAGACCGGGGATCCTCGATCGGGAATCATTTCCTCAGGGGTCCGATCTGCCTGGCCACCGGCTGTCAAATGTTAAAAGGTGTAGAAAGTTCTTTGACCGGAGAAGGTGTGGTGCCACGTGGTCTGAACATGCCCCACAGTGGTGAATGAAGAGCATTGTAGCTGAGAACAAAATCACGGGGAGGCTGCTTACACACACACCCACGTGCGCACACGCGCACGGATACACACATTCATCACATCCACCATTCCTGGCCATTCGCCTTTATTTACTTTTTAAAAATAAAAAAAGGCTTTTTTTCTCATAATACTCAGACTGGTCTTTCGCTTATTTGTTTATTCACTCGAAAATATCTGTTGGGCAGCCACTGTGTTGCCAGGTGCTGTGCTAAGCAATGAAAATGAACAGTGAACACCACCTGTCCTCTCTCCCAAGGGCATAGCCAATGGGTACTGCTGGGCCACGTCAGTGGGCAGTCCCAGAGCAGCACTGGGCAGTGAGGGTGGCAGGTCAGCATGGAGGTTCTGGCCTTCCCCTGTCAGGCGGTGGGAGGACTGTGTAGCATCCTTTCCGGCCTTCCCTCAGCAGGTGATGGGAGGACTCTGTAGTATCCTTGATGTGACTGGAGAGAGAGATTCCTATTGCTTAGGATCTTTGAAAATTGAAGATACCTATCAATAGAACCAACCTTAGAACTAACCTTAGGATCAAAACGATAACCACTGACATAAGGAGGTTACGTAGCATCTGTCAAGCCTTCTAACTGGAGTTGGTATAAACCCAGCTTCTTTAGATGCTGCTCATTCTCAGAACCTGTGAGGCCTGGTTTTTGCAATTCTGTATCAGTTCTTAACTCCACTCTCCTAGGGAACGGCTAATTTCCTAAAATACTCTTTGCCCTTGCTCTTTGTTTAGGATATCGGCCGGGTCGCAGGACCACCAATACTCAATCCGGTAGCGAATGAGATTTACTTGAATTTTGAAAGCAGTACTCCTTGCTTAGCGGACAAGCATTTCAACTACACCTCGCTCATCGCGTTTCACTGTAAGAGAGGCGTGAGCATGGTAAGTGTGGGCCTGTGATGATCTAGATGCTTAACTGGATTAGTGAGCCAAGGCTAGACAACCAGAAAGTGCATATCAGGTCCAAGGATACTCTTATTCAAAATGACTGCCTTGGATAAGAAGGTACGCTAGTAGTGTGTCTGAATAATTTAAACCACTAATTGAAGGCTGAGTGAGCTCCCCGCAGTTAATAGCATATGGAAGCTTGCTGTAATTTAAAAACATAGAACACAAGTATAGAAATGACATTCAGCTTTGACTGCTGATGCATAAAAGTGTCATAACTTTTGTTTTTATTTTAACAATTACTGATTTTATTCTAACTGGGAAGTCAGAAAGACATTTGGGCAGCTGTAGTCTTTCAGGACATAGCCCAGAAGTTCACAAGTAACAAAAGACCCCTGGAATTAGAATAACTACAACAAAGTGGCACCTTTTACTTATAAGGAGGTATTGACTTCCATTTTATGTGCATTAAAAAAAGAATACCAGCTTCCATTATAATGAGTTGCACAGGGGAACAGCCCTTTGCCCCAGGAACAGAGCGCCGCAGCCTCTCATCTGTGCTTCTGAAATCTGTGAAGCTCTGAAAACTTGGGACTCCTTTGACATGAATGGACTGAGGCTATTCGTGGTGTGGGTTTGTCCCACCTAATGTGGATATTGATACGTCTAGCTACAGAAGTATTAATATGCTTGATCACAGGCTCTGGGGGTGTGAGAATTGCCTCTTAAAATCCTAATAAAGATGATGGATTCCAAGGCTCATATGACCCCTAGGAGTTCAGTTGATGGATTGGGATCTGTTGGGTGTCTTGTAATTCTGATAAAGATATCCTAATGATGTTTGGGCCTGGAGCAGGTTTGTAAAGGGACTGTTAGACATGGGTGTGCTGACAGTGACAGAAAGTGACCTGGCAGCCGTCTGGCCAGTAGGAGAGACAGTACTTGAGAAGGAGAAGGAAACAGTCCTGCTGTTTGGGGCTATTCCATAGGGACTCAGAACACCTCAGAGCCCTTGGATGTGTCCCTGTTCATGAATCTTAGAGTGTAATGACAGTCCTAGTTAGTAAGGAAAAGCAGAGCTGTATTCAGTCCACTCATTTCATCTGTTTATAAGCGTATCTGCATATTTACATAGGGGTGTCTGTATGCCTCTGCAGATGCACACAGCATGGGGCAACGTGGACTTTGCCTTGAGGGGGGCTTTAAGTTCTTCATTCTTTAAAGGACAGTCTTCACTTCTAAGACCCACCTCATCATGAGTGATGCTCTGTTATCTCACACCACCAGCTAAAGAGTGTGGAACTATGCCTTACTTTGACACTGCTGCCAACTTGACAAATCAAATTAGCTAATGTGATTTTAGTTAATTCTCAGCAGCCGCACATTGAGAGTGATTAGTGTTTACTTGATTTTAGAAATGAGGCATCTTATGCTGAATGTGTCTACTGGTGTCCCAGAAAGATTTTTAGAAGATTTTTCCTCCCCAGCAGTTTTCATTTTCAATGGAAGTACTTTTACCACTGAATCATAGGGAAAAAGATGCTTAACATTAATTACAAACGGAATTCCTGAGAGCTGCCTCATCTTTTTTTTGTTGCTGTTGAATGAGGGAGGGAATAAATAAAGTGATTCAAGAATACTTGGCCTATGGAATATCTGGCCACGTGGCATCTTGTTCCTTGAATAAATGTCTCCCGTGTGTAGAGACAGTGGATTGGAGCACTTGCGAGGCAGAGTGTCAGTTTCACAGACCTCTCTCGTGACATTTAAGTCCTCCCCCTTTCTTCCTTTGAACCTGTAGCAGAGAACGTTGAGGCTTTCTCTCTTAAGTAGGAGATGAGACCTGGATTCAGCCAGGGAGCTCCCGGGATATGTGGGGGGCAGGGGCGAGGTGATGTCTGTGCCTTGAAGATGGCATTGGGTCTTTCAGCTGCTGTTGTCCAGCGTCCCTTCTCTCTGAGAGGCTGCTATGGGTTACGCGCAGCCCCTGTAGGGGTGTGGTGTGTCACTGCTATCTATCCCTGTGCCATGGGGTTTTTAAGACCCATGCTCTTCCTGGCGATAGGGAACGCCTAAGCTGTTAAGGACCAGCGAGTGCGACTTTGTGTTCGAATGGGAGACTCCGGTCGTCTGTCCTGATGAAGTGAGGACGGAGGGCTGTGCCCTGACGGATGAGCAGCTCCTCTACAGCTTCAACTTGTCCAGCCTCTCCACGAGCACCTTTAAGGTAATGTGTTCACCCTGGGTGTGCTGGCGCAGGTATACCAGCTGCTGTGAGGCTGCCCGGAGTGTTTTGGATAATGTGGTAGCTGTGAGCTGAGAGGGTGTGTGTGGCCACTGGGCAGCATCTGGGGGCTCTCGTAGGGCATGCCAGGTCTCAGGAAGGTTCCTGGATTGTGTGGCCAACTCAGCACAGCTGACACTTGCGTTGTACCTCATGACTCTGCACTTAAGGCTTTTTGAGGATCAGGTAACCTCATGAGGTGGGTAGTGAGACCCTTTGTATCAGACAGAGAGCAGGTGGGGCAGTCTGGAGACATGAATGTAAGGTATCCACGGGGGCAGGGCCAGCTCTCGGGTGGCTGAAATCTACGGGGATTTAATTCTTCCAACCTGGCTAAAAATGATCAAGGCAGTTGTTTGCTGATTGTGGCAGCTGTGGGTGGAGGGAGGTAGGAGGTGCCTTGGAATTGAGAGGCACTTGGGCATGTACCTCCATGCCATCCCAGAGCGGCCTATGCTAGGTCTGTGGGCTGTTGGTCTTACTGAGGTGGTGTCGTAGTTGCTGGTGCCTGGGGGCCCCTAGCTCCCTAAGCCTCGATATCTAGGCGTTACCATGCCAGTGCCTGGACTGGGGTATGGAACCCCAGCACCTGCTGTGGCATAGCAGCTGGTGAGTGATGAGCTTGGAGTTTTGGGCCCAGGTGCCAACACCCTGGCTCCTGTGATGGAGCCCTCTGCCTAGGTACAGGTCCTCCCGACAGGTTTGCAGCAGGTGTGAGCCTTCTGGGCGCTGGGTGGGCCAGGAGAGTCAGGTCCACGCTTCAGCGTGCACCGTCGGCTCTGCTCATTCACTCACTTGGCCTGCACAACGCCTTATTACACAGGTGAGGGAGGTGGGGTGAGCCTGGGGCTCCCTGCTGGGTCCCTTCCCACTGGGCTGTGACGAGACGACAGCCAGAGCAGTGGCTGGCTGAGGGGGTGGCCGAGGTCCCCGGCAGGAAGCAGGAGGAGCAAGCAAGCTGGGCCTAGGGGTTGGGGGAGGCCTCCCAGGGAAAACCGAGGGCCAAGGCGATTGCGTGGCTCTGATGCACACAGAGGAGTCTCTGCTCTTCTGCATGAACCTGCCTCTGGCACCAGCTGCAGTAATGGTTCTCTCTTCGCCTTGAGACCTGGGTGCTGCCACCCTGCTGACGGCCACGCATGGTGTTTGTCCAGGTGACTCGAGACTCACGCACCTACAGCGTTGGGGTGTGCACCGCTGCGGCCGGGCCAGAACAAGGAGGCTGTAAGGATGGAGGAGTCTGTCTGCTCTCGGGCACCAAGGGGGCATCCTTTGGACGGCTGCAGTCAATGAAACTGGATTACCGGCACCAGGATGAAGCTGTCGTTTTAAGTTATGTGAATGGTGATCGTTGCCCTCCAGGTAAATATTTGCAATGAGGTAAACTTCAAGCTCACAGTAAACTAGAAATTAGACATAGCAGCAGAAAGAAGCTGAGGAGTGGAGCTCCAGGGTCCTGTGAGTGCTGTAACCTTGGGCGTGAATGTGAGCTGTTCCTCTTTACACCCTCGGTGTGAACCCTGGTGCGTGAATCACACTGTGTTCTCTCAGTTGCCTGGTGAGTTTTGGTGGGTGAATGCCAGTTGTCACATAGGTGCTTTACGATGGGCAGCTTCCTTAGGGACTCCTGCTGCATCCTTAGGTGACTGTGCCTGGTGAGGCACAGCTGCCACACTGGTAATGTGGATTATTCAGATGTTCTTCTTCTTTCTAGAAACTGATGAAGGCATCCCCTGTGTCTTCCCCTTCACATTCAACGGGAAGAGCTACGAGGAGTGTGTCATAGAGAGCAGGGCAAAGCTGTGGTGTAGCACAACTGCGGACTACGACAGAGATCATGAGTGGGGCTTCTGCAGACACTGTGAGTAGGAAGGCTCTGCATCCCCACATGGCCTGGGGCCTTGATACTCTCAAGGCTCGATTCACACTGAGACCTTTGTGGATGCGCCAGTCAGTGGCAGGAATTCTCTTGCATAAAATATTTTCTTACTCGGGCCGTTTCCCACAGAGAAACATTTGAATCGCTCTGTGAGATTGCTGGGTAACCGTATCTACAGACTGCAGTAGAGCTGCCCTGAAATGCTGTGCTGGGTGGCTGGCTAGGCCCACGCACTAGCCAGAGGGCCTTGTGTCCTCATACCAGGTTTTAGCCCTGGTGGTTCAAATTATGCCTCAGCAAAATAAATGTCTGCCGTGGGTCTTCAGGATTCTGAAGCTAGTGAGAATTCCGGTAAACCAGGCGACTCATTGATTGACTTTCTGCCATGTGGCAGCCCACGTGTGGAGTGGGGTTTCTTGGTGAGCCACACTCAGCACCTTGCCCCTGTGGTGCTCAGGAAGTTTCATGAGAGGAGCCAACTGCTGTGACTTGTGTCTACGGACCGTGAGATGGAAGAAATGCATGAAAAATTACTAATTTTCATAAATGTCCCGGGACCATAATGGAATGTATTAAGGAACCAAAGGTGTTAAATTTACAAAGGATTACTATAGCTTTGTTTTGAGGCTTATTTTGACAAAACATTATTCCCTATTTTCTGAATCACACTTGTGTTTTCAAGTACTTGTAGGTATTGTATTATTATCTTAATTTTTTTTTTTTTTTTTTTTGAGATGGAGTTTTGCTTTTGTTGCCCAGGTCAAGTGATTCTCCTGCCTCAGCCTCCCAAGTAGCTGGGATTACAGGCGCCCGCCACCTTGCCCAGCTAATGTTTTTGTATTTTTGGTAGAGATGGGATTTCACCATGTTGGTCAGGCTGGTCTCGAGCTGCTGACCTCGTGATCCACCCACCTCGGCCTCCCAGAGTGCTGGGATTACAGGCATGAGCCATTGTGCCCAGCTGTCTTAATTTTTTTGGTGATTAGTAGACTGGTCAAATATTGAACACCCATCTGAGGAATTACCTAGGGCTGTGGGGTTATTAAGAAGTGTGATGAAAGGCTGTGCCAAGGAGCTGGATCTATTTGGAGTCAGGATACACATGAGTGAATCAACATGAGATGTGGCCAGGGCAGCACGTGGGGCATTGCCAGATGGCGGATGGAGTCTGCAGGTGCTCCTGAGGCAGCGTGGGGAAGAGGTGCGGGAACGTGCCCTGGTGCAGGCCTTGGTCTGACGTTCTCCCACCTCTACTCCCCAGCAAACAGCCACCGGACATCCAGCATCATATTTAAGTGTGATGAAGACGAGGACATTGGGAGGCCACAAGTCTTCAGTGAAGTGCGTGGGTGTGATGTGACATTTGAATGGAAAACAAAAGTTGTTTGCCCTCCGAAGAAGATGGAGTGCAAATTCATCCAGAAACACAAAACCTACGACCTGCGGCTGCTCTCCTCTCTCACCGGGTCCTGGTCCCTGGTCCACGACGGAGTCTCGTGAGTGCCTTCCCATCCGCCCGCAGCACCACACCCTCAGCCGATGAATGTCAGACTGCTTGATGATGGTTGGCTCTTGGGGTTCTAAGGATGGGAATACCACGCCCATGTGAGGCTGATGGCGGTTGAGCTGTGGCTGCTCCTGGAAGCAGCCCGCAGTGTCAGACCTGGCACAGAGGGTGATTCTGAGGTCAGAGGGGGAGCGGGAGCTTTGGTGACCGGAAACGGAGCCTCCGGAACTGGAAGAACCTGGACTCACTGAGTTAGGCCGGGCTCAATTTGCATTTGTGTGTAGCTCAGGTTGTGGGAGGTGTGTCGGTTTTGTTGGGTCTTTGGCAGGAGCTCCTTAGGCTTTGCTGGCTGGGGTCAGCCCATGGTCCTGACCACTCTTTGTGGGGAGTGCCCTCTTGCCAGTGCTCCTGGCAAGGCATCACCGAGGAGCAGGGGCATGGACTCAGAGGATTTAAGTGGCTCTAAGTAAGGTGGGAAACTTGCCAGGATCCCAGCCCCTGCCTCCCCCAGCCCCAGAGCCCTTCTTTCTGCCACGCCATGCTGTGTTCAGCGTGACCGCAGGTGTGGATATTCCACTCCGGGTGTGCCTGGTTGGTAAGCTCCCTTCTTCAGTGATGACTTCCTTTTGTCCTATTTTTTTAATTGGAAAAGCTATCTTAGTGCTACATTCAGTGATGGAATGGAGCCCTTAGTTATCAGAACCTTTCTCTGAAAGTAAAGCAAAGAGCCCTCCTGTGTCAAGGGCAGAGACGTCACTTGCTTGCCTGTTTCTTGCCCCTTTGTGTCGTTTTCTAGGTACTATATAAATCTGTGCCAGAGAATATATAAAGGACCCCTGGGCTGCTCTGAAAGGGCCAGCATTTGCAGAAGGAGCACAACTGGTGACGTCCAGGTCCTGGGACTCGTTCACACGCAGAAGCTGGACGTCATAGGTAAGGCCTGTGGGTCCTGGTCCTTGGTTCAAGGAGCGGCATCTGAACCGGGAAGGTGAGGGTGTTCTCAGGATAGCAAGGAGAGTGAGCATATGCTTTGGTGGAAACCTTCAGATGTGATTGCCTGTCACTGTCTCACGGGCATTTTGACTCTCCTGGAACATTAAAATAAGTGCCGTTTTGTATTATGTGAGATTGCAGGTCCCAGTCTGTGTGTTTAGAGGGGTTCGGCTATCTCAGGAAAGTGTGTCTATCCAGGGGGAGGTCTCAGAATGTTCAGCGTTCCTCTGAAGTTTATGTTCTAGCTGTAGATCAAGTGCCTAAACTGACAGAGACACACGTGTTTGTTGAGGCAAGCCAGATGATGGCATGAGGACTTGGTGCAGGTAGTTCAGGGCTACATCTTGGTAAACTGTCTTAACAATTTTGAAGATAATAACGATACTTTTTAATGGGAAATTGATCTTGTAGTTGGTTGGTGAATGAAAGATGTTTTCTTTCATTATTTAAAGGCGGAAAATAGAGGTTTCTTAGCTTAAGAGCAATTAGGATTTGTTGGAGGGACCAGTAAAGGAAAATACTCACCTTTGCCTCTTACGCTGGAGTGGGGTTTCCTGAGTTGTCCTGATTCAGCTACAGGACTACCTCAGATTAGCTTGAGATATTGAGATGGAGAAAGAGAATTCCGAGAAAACTACTGTCACCCTTGATAAAAGTCACACGCAGACTCTGCAGGTTGGTAGTGGAGGGAGAGCTGCCGTATATACAGGAAGTGGCGCCCAGACCACCAGCCTGAGACCCGCCCTCACCGGGAGGCTCCTAACCGCTTTGGAGGTCAGTGATCGCTGCCACTGCCACACTGCCCCAGAGGGGGAAGGAGGGAAGGTAGTGGAGGGCGGCTCTCTCCCCTGTCATGTCGCAGTACATACGGGTATTCGACTAGTCGTTCCCCAATGTCAGCCAACTGCAATCACTAAAACATTTAAGGCTTCACTAAAAGCTTGAGGCAGAAGGAGCAAAAGAGAGTAGTGAACACAGGGAGTGACATGGAACTAGATCGTCTGACTTCTCAGCGGTGACCTGCAGGCCACCTCCATTTGGGGAGCACCATTTTGCAAGTCAGGCCTCGCCAGGCGGGAAGAGCTCTCGCTTTCTCCTGGGGCTGGCATTTGGCATCCTGAGCACTGCTGACTGGAACGAGAAGTAATCTGGTGTCTGACGCACCCAGTGAGCTCTCAGTCTTTGGTGCCAACAAGGCAGCATCTGCGGACAGCCACGGTGCCCCCATTGTCCACTTAGGGAACGGACCGCACCCTGTGGGGGTGGGAGGTAGACTTTTTGTTTCCGGAACCAGCATGTCTCAAGCAGCTGCGCTTAATATATGTTTAATCCCCATGCGCTCCATGGGGCAGTGTCGTCATCCGTTCCACACACTGGGCCCCCGAGGCGGGGAGGTTGAGCCTCCTGCCCAATCGGTATGGGCTGTTTACACTCCTGAAGTCGTTGCTTGTTTGATCCCATATACCGGAAGTTTTAAACATTTTCTGCAAAATAGTGGAATTCTTTCTTCCAAAATTTTACACAGAAGCCCAATATTTAAAACAAATTCAGCTGGAGCAGCTTTGAATTTGGGGCAGGGCTGAGAGCCTAGAGTCCCACCTCCTACCTCACCATCCGGCAGCCCCCAGCACCTCAGCCTGTGTCCTCTGGAAAACACTCGGGAAGTGGGCACTGTGCCCGTGTACCTCCACCGCGTGCCCCTGCCTGGAAGAATCTCTGTGTGTGTGATTGGGGTGGAAGGCACATGCTTGCCCTGGACACCCCGCGCCATGCCCTGGAGACATCGTCTGTCCATGCAGCCAGGCTGGGCCTGGACCATTTCCAGAACAGCCCCCTGGGCAGCCACGAGCAGCCTCTTGGCGGTGGCTTGAGAGTTGGAACCTGGCGGCCACGCTGCCGCAGTGATACTTGCAGCTTAAAGCATATACTCGCTTTTCTCTCAGACCCTGCAGGTTCGAGGGTTCAGGCTTTTCTTTTAACGGGTCACTTTTAAAAGCAGACAGTGCTTGACTTAAAGCTAGAAGACCCTAGAAAACCACAGTTGGTCTCTGTTTCTGGCTTTTCACTTTTTCTGTTCCCTGCTGTGTTATTATTGGGAGGCTCACATGAGGGTACCTGTCAGGAAAGCACCTAATAGAATACAGAAATTTTACACAGTTGGAGCAATAATGAAGGCTGCCATTACCCAGGGTCCCACTGTTCACATGAGTTTGTCGGGCGCTTTCTATACATGCCTGAGACTTGCCCGCTTTGGACAGTGTCCTGTTCTGCAGGGAAGGCCCTCGAGGCTCAGAAGCTTAGCAACCCAGGGCCACAAAGTGTGAGAGTAGGAGGGTTTGGGTTTGACCCCAGGACTTGGGCTGTGGCAATTGTGCAATGGGCCAGGTGGCCACCCCTGAGCATGAGAATGCAAGAACTGGTCGATAAACCTTTAGGGAGCCAAAACTTGATTTTTTCCTGGCCTTTAAACCAGATTTTTACTCCCAACTTTGAAACTTCATTTGTTTGTTTTTTTTGTTTTTGTTTTTGAGATGGAGCTTTGCTCTTGTTGCCCAGGCTGGAGTGCAATGGCACTATCTCGATCTTGGCTCACTGTAACCTCTGCCTCCTGAGTTCAAGCGATTCTCCTGCCTCAGCCTCCCGAGTAACTGGGATTACAGGCACCTGCCATCGTGCTCGAATAATTTTTGTATTTATGGGGTTTCACCATGTTGGTCAGGCTGGTCTCGAACTCCTGACCTCAAGTGATCTGCCCGCCTTGGCCTCCCAAAGTATTGGAATTGACAGGCGTGAGCCACCACGCCTGCCTGAGGCTTTTTATAATGTGCTAGAAATAATGTCAGTTCAATCGTTTGTGTGTTTCAGATGACAAGGTGGTTGTCATGTACTCCAGAGGTTATCCGTGTGGTGGAAATAAGACCGCATCCTCCGTGATAGAATTGACCTGTACAAAGACGGTGGGCAGACCTGCATTCAAGAGGTCAGGAGACTGGGGGCTCAGCGCGGGACTGTGCAGTGAGCACACTGGAGGAATTCCTCCTTGGGGTTTTCACGGGCGGGTTTTGGCTGAGTGTGAGGAGGTCAGGGCCAGAGCCATTGATTGTGCTGTATTGGGCAGGGCTGCTCTAGGCAGGGAAGACCCCCGGATACAGTGCTGAGACACTGTTGCAAGACCAGTGCAACTTCTCTGGGCTAGCTTGTCTCTTGAACTAGGTTTAGCACTGGCTGAGCAGTATTTAACTGGCCTCCACCTTTGAATATCATAGTAGGAACAAAGGGGCGTTGATTTGTCCCACCCAAGGTATTCAAGCAGCCTGGCTGGTACCCTCAAGCAGCTGGGACCTGCATCTGGACCTGGGATGTGCTTGGATTATGTTCAAGTTTTCCAGGCCACATTGCATCTGGTGCCAGGGAGAGCTTGGCCAGCAGAGGGTGCATGTGAGCTGCTGTGTGTGAACAGAACTGATTCCTTCCAAACGTTCAGTTTGGAAAAGGGAAGACTCAGAAATTGCCAAAGGATTTAGGAATGTATAAGTCCGAGAAGCCTAAAAATCTAAAAATCTAGGAGCAAATTTTTCCAGGTTTTCAATGTTGCGTGGTTTACAAATTTTAAAGAATTTATATTGAATGCTTGCATGCTTTGTCACATTACTGATGTGTGCACCATAGTCATCTTCCCTATCCATTGTGGTGATGAAAAGAAGTGAGTGAAATAACCGTCCTTGCTCCGAGCTGCTGTCAGTGTTGAGTCAGGAAGTTCTGCGTAGGCCTGTGCAGCCCGGTGGGTGGGGGCCTCGGGATGCAGCCCACGTCTTGCAGCACCTTGACTGAAAGCCAGTGAGCTGCTTCAGGGGCTGCGCGGTGTTGACTGTTTTGCGGTCTTCCCTCGTGTCTGGCTGGGGAGGTGACTGTAGTCTGTGCTTCCCTCCTCCTAGGTTTGATATCGACAGCTGCACTTACTACTTCAGCTGGGACTCCCGGGCTGCCTGCGCCGTGAAGCCTCAGGAGGTGCAGATGGTGAATGGGACCATCACCAACCCTATAAATGGCAAGAGCTTCAGCCTCGGAGATATTTATTTTAAGTAAGTAAAACGTTTTCCTTTTGAGCTATGAAATGTGTTCAAAACTAAACCAGCAATGCAGCTCTTTCCCTATCAGGGAGCGCTGCAGGATAAATAGGTCTGTGTTTTAGTTACTGTTGCTGGAGTCGTCGTCATCTTTTGCTTAAACTGAGGAAAAGCATTACTCAGCCATTAAGTTTTAACACCAAAGATGGTGAATTCTCGTGAGTGTAAAAATAAATCCCCCCTCCTCCTCCCTCACTTCATGATAAGTTCAGGGGTTGAGCCTGAAGCCTTCTGACATGTTTAAGCAGGAATCTTCTGGGCTTACCAGTGTTTGGAAAATAAGTTTCTCAGCGGTGGTACTGGGGCTGCTCTGGGGGGCCGGTGGCCGAGGTGCACAGACAGGGCGAGGGCCGTGTGGTGCTGGACACAGCACCTGAGGAAGGTGGATTAGCACTCAGAGGGCAGAACTGGCTGGGGAGAGCCTCTTGAGATGGAAACTGGCGTCCTCAGAATCTCTGTGGGGTCACAGACTTGCTGCCCTAGCACAGGAAAGGAAGCATTGTGGGGTTCTGCAGCAATTCTGAGGACTGAGGGTTTATGTCACGAATGCCTTCTTGAAGGACTTCCACGTCACTCTGGTCTTTTCTGTCTCTTCAGGCTGTTCAGAGCCTCTGGGGACATGAGGACCAATGGGGACAACTACCTGTATGAGATCCAGCTTTCCTCCATCACGAGCTCCAGAAACCCGGCGTGCTCTGGAGCCAACATCTGCCAGGTGAAGCCCGACGATCAGCACTTCAGCCGGAAAGTCGGCACCTCTGACAAGACCAAGTACTACCTGCAAGGTAATCCGCGGCTTCCCACACAGCGTCCACGTTAACTTCCTCCGAGGAAGGGGATTAACGTTTTCAACTAACCCCCTTCGGTTGAAATCGCGGACCACTTTTAAAACAAAAACCATGGTCTAATTCTTTGCTTTGTTATGAATTTTGTCAAAATGGATCGAACGACACGTATCAGACCTGAGCATTTCACTGTAGGTAGATTGTGTCTTAGTTAACAAATGAATGTACAAAAAAAACGAAAACCTGGTCTGATCCAGTGGTTCTGAGGTCAGGTGGAGGCTGAGCGGGGCAAGTCAGAATTACCTTTGATTTGGTTTTAGCCATGACACTTCCTTATTTTGGAATGCCAAATAATATTTGAGAAGGTAAGAGATTTTATATTTATAAGAAGGATGAAAGGAAGCTGCCCTAAGTGTTAGGATGTAGGTTAAAATCAACCAGGACGCACAGAGGGCAGAATCCAGGGTGTGAAGGAAGGTTTTGTACTGGCACTAATAAGGGTGTTGCCCTTCGTTCCCTCAAATAATCCTGAAAGGCTGCTTTTGTTTTGAATAGATAGTCTTAACTATATACCTCTCATAATTTGATTTTTGAACTGTGTGTGGATGTAATAACTCTTAAAAAAAAATCAAGCGTGTTTAAAGAAAACCCCAGCCGGCTGTGATGTCAAAGAGCTGCCGATCGGGTCCCCTGGGAAGGGAGAGTAGTAATAGCCAAGAAGGAGCGGGTGCCCCGTGCCCTGGTGCTGAGCGCATCCCCGAGAACGAGCGGGTGCCCCGTGCCCTGGTGCTGAGTGCATCCCTGAGAAGGAGCGGGTGCCCCGTGCCCTGGTGCTGAGTGCATCCCCGAGAACGAGCGGGTGCCCCGTGCCCTGGTGCTGAGTGCATCCCCGAGAAGGAGCGGGTGCCCCGTGCCCTGGTGCTGAGCGCATCCCTGAGAAGGAGCGGGTGCCCTGTGCCCTGGTGCTGAGCGCATCACTGAGAAGGAGCGGGTGCCCCGTGCCCTGGTGCTGAGCGCATCACTGAGAAGGAGCGGGTGCCCTGTGCCCTGGTGCTGAGCGCATCTCCACGACGGCAGGACCTGATGGAGGGAAGCTGGGGTCAGCATCGCTGCTCCTGGTCACAGATCGTAGACAGCACCCCGGTGCATCTCATAGCACCTGTGGCCCCTGAATAGAACTGGGAAAGTGAATGTTCTGCTTTCTGGGCGGGTTGATGATGGGAAACTTGATCAGCCTCATTCGCTTGCAGAATTCCACAGCTCAGAGCAAGCACTCTGTGTTCCTCTGTTCTCTGCTTCCTCACGCTTCGGTGAATCCTCCAGTCATTCAGAATCAGATGTTGCATGTCACAGGTTATGCCTTCTCTTGCTGTCGTCTTTCCCAGTGCTTGGTAAATGTTGATTAAAGGAAGGAAGGAAGAATGGTTAAGATTGTTTCAAAAGCCTTCAGGGGGTCCTATCATGCAGAGAAGGAAAGTCCAGACTCTCTCTGACACAGCTGGAAGATGTCTGAGAGGCTTTGCGTACCAGGGCAGCCTTGCAAGCTGCTGCTCCCACACATGCCTCAGCTATCAGTTTATTCACCAGCTCCCAAAGTCACCCTGTAACCTGGTGGCTTTACACGTGCTGCTCTTGGCGCTGGAATGCCTCGGTCCACCTTCCTCATCCATCCAAACCTACCTCCCGTGCCCCTCCTGGGAAGGCCCACCTTCTCATAGCAGGGTGATGCCGCCTGGTGTGTCTGCAGGAGTCTTCAGGCTCCACTGCGCAGCACTGGCCACTTGTCTGCTTACACATAAGAACTTCCGTGTTCACAAAGGGTATGTCTAGCAGACCTTTGAGGATCACCGACTTTCCGAGTGCTTGTGTATGCGCATTTAGTCATTCTTGGTAGATAAAATCCCTTTCAGACCTTTTCACTTTCTTCATTCACCAGCCTCAGAAAGTAGCTTTAGTTTTAAGACCTCTTTTCATCTTTCATGAAGAAATGAAATGTCTGCCTCTTCCTGAGGATTGCCATTCCTTCGGGAGGGCAGCAGCTGTCTCTCCTCAGGACGTGGAGCTGCTGGGCGGTTTGCTCCCCCACACCAGCCCTGCAGAGCAGTGCATTCGGCAGCCCCTGCTTCAGCTACTCCAAGGCGAGAGTGGGGGGCCCTCCCCTGCACTGCCTGTCTCTGGTCCCCATCTGTGTATGGACACGTCCGTCTCATACCCTGCACTCTCGCCTCTACATTCCTGGCACCCAGCAGCGCCAGCCACAAAGATTTTGAGCCAATGACAAAGGTTGGGAGCAGCAGAGTTCATGCAAGGAGTCCACACGAGGGTTCCTCACTTCTGACACCAACAGCACACTGAACGGTTCCCAAGCCAACTTCAGATTCGCCCTTTCACCGTGACTCACAGAGCTCCCTGGAAGCGGTTACGCTCATAGTTACGATTTACTGCAGCAAAAGGATATAGGTTAAAATCAACCAAGATGTACACACAGGGCAGAGTCCAGGAGGGAATCGAATTCAGAGTTCCCACCAGCTCTCCCGTGGAATCAGATGTGTTGTGTTCCCAGCACCCACGTGTGGCAGTCAGTGCACATGGAGTATCGCCAGCCGGAGGTGCTCTCCCGAGCCTTGGTGTCCAGAGTTTTTCCCGGGGCTCTGACATGAGCAGGATTGGTCGGTTGATTGCTCAGGTACTGCATGGCCAGCTCCTGCTCTGTATCCTATCATTAGCCAAGGACCAAGGCCAGTCCTCTTTTTGGGCAAGGTTAAATTCTTGCCTTCCCTCCTATCACCGTTGCTTCTGGCACCATTGCCCTGGAGGAGCTCCTGGCACAGTGGTGGGGTCTCAGGCCTCCACCTTACTGTGCGATGAAGAGCTTGAGGAGATCGAGAAGGAGACTGGCCTTTCCCACCGTCAGATCACTCGCCTGTGCAGGCGATTCAGCAACCTGGACAAAGGAGAGAACAAGATGATTTCCAGGGGATTCCAGAACTTGCGATCAACCCAGTAGGGAACTGGATCATCAATGCCTTCTTTCCAGAGGGAGAGGACCAGGTAAACTTCCGTGGATTCCTGCAAACTTTGGCTCATTTCCGAACCATTGAGGATAATGAAAAGAGCAAAGATGTGAACGGACCTGAACCACTCAACAGCCGAAGCAACAAACTGCACTTTGCTTTTCGACTATATGATTTGGATAAAGATAACAAGATCTCTCGTGATGATGTTAAAGGTGCTATGCATGATGGTCCGAGTACATATCTCCGATGAGCAGCTGGGCAGCATCGCAGACAGGACCATTCAGAAGGCTGATCAGCGTGGGGACAGTGCCATATCTTTATCACAGACTTTGCTAAGGTTTTGGACAAGGTGGATGTAGAACAGAAAATGAGCATCCGATTTCTTCACTAAAGGACAGACAGCAAACTATTCCTTGCGGTCTAGTATTTAAGAACTGGAACTTGACAGTCCTCCTGTCCACCAGCCCTACCTCCACCCCATCATTCCCCTTCTCCCAAAGTACCACTGCTGTTGCATGACAACCCCAAATATGTTCTGTCAACACAAACCTGCCTTTGGTCTATAAACAGGGCATTACAGAATGGTACACCCAGTCTGTTTCTGCTCAGTATCTATTCACCAGTTCTTCACTTATAAATATTGTCTTCCTCTGTTCTGCTGCTGAAAGCCACACATCCATCCAGTCTGAGAAAGTAAGATAGGAAATCATGCCGAGGAACAGGCCAGCAAAGCTCTTCCACTGGATGTAGGCTGCACCTGCTGCCTTCCCCCCAGTGAGTCTGCCAGCATGCTTCTCCATCCTTTTTATATGTCCTTCGCTTCCCACTTATGTGTACGTTCAGCATACTGTTCACCTAGTCATGCAGTCTTTCTGCTTTTCGTGAAGCCTCAGAATCTCCTCTGTTCTACTTGGCACCCCAAGCTATGCCTGGTATTGTATTTCTGACTTGGCACGATAGTTCAGTGGTCTGGCAGTTTTTATCTACCTTCGTTATTTAATGGGCCTCTGGAATGTTGCCTCCCCAGGAGCCTTTTGGTAACCAACACTTCTGTCAGGAGTATGAGATCATCCTCTGCACTGTGCTCTGTCATCAGAGGACTGCTGGGTGGAGATATTCGTGAAAGGTGGCCTTGGAGAGAGGAGTGGAGTCAAGCCTTCTGGGTTGCTTGTCCACATCACTCTACTTCTGGCCTCTGATTCTCAACTTTGTACCCATGTGGCGTCTCTTGTTAGTGCAGTGTTGACTATTCAAAAAGTAGCAATATGCCTGCAGGTTTGCTTAGTCTTGGGGCACCATTACCACCAGAACAGCTGCTCTGACAATATGCTTGGGGACTGCCTGATGGCCTTTTGAACAAGGAGGCTGCGCACCCTGTAAAGCCTCCTGCATTCACACCTCTGCTGCATGGCTTATGCCTCAGTGTTTTGTGCACTGGAATGATTTTCACTTGACGTTTCCAAGTTAGAAAGATTAGTGTTACGGAAGTGCCTAACTTATCCCAGTCCAAAATATTTAAAGATTGTTCTCTGTGTCTTGAAGTTTCGCACAAAATTATTTATGAATTTTACACTTGTCAAATGTTAATGCTGGAAGCCATAGTCTGCTCCTGATACAAGTCCAAAGCATTGACTGTTGTGTCATTAGCTCCCTGGTTACATTGGTTTCCCAGCTCCTTGTGTAGACCACTGTTGATCCCTTAGAAACAAGAGGTCTGGCACTAGTAGCACAACCTAAGGTGGCATTCCAAGTCTTTGAACAAGTCATAGCAGCTTTTCTTGCCAAAGTCAGCTTAGTTTAGACTTCAGTGGTTCAGGCTGTTGCCATCCTAATGTATGTCCCTGTGAGTCTGTTCATTCACATGTCTGCCATTGGCTGACTTGCTTGACTCATTGCTTGCTTGCTTGTTTCCTTGCTTTGCAAAACTATTGGAGATGTGTACAGCAGTCTTTAGGAAGGGGATTGTTTAAAAATACCACTGCAAAACGATGGAAAAGGGTGGAGAACAGGGGAGTAGCCAGGCTGGATGGCTCAAATATAAATGAATGAGGAATTCTTTATGAAGTACCAGTTGGACTTTGATGATCGAGTGATGTAATATAGGAATTATATAGAAAGAGAAGAATATCTGATACTGATCTGTTAGATACTTCAGAGACTCCTTGATTTGCATATTTGCATAATTAAAATTAGAGCCTTTCCCTTCTTTTGGCTGCACAGCAGACGGTTTTAATCCACGGTTGTGCCTTATTGTTCCATTAAAATTGTATCTTCAGTCCATCAATAAATACTCGTGGTCAAAACAAAGCAAAAATTCTTTACTGCACACTGAGTACGGGCAGGGCGCTATCAATGTGCATCGAGTGGCCTCGTAAGCTGTGAACAGAGTGGATGTGGGACATGGGGTGAAGTCTCTTCTGCCTGATTTTAAGTCTTTGCAAACTTTTTAGACTGTAAGGAGCTAAACTCAGTCTGCTCGTGAAAATTGATGGTGACATGCCACGTGTGCCCTTCCTGTTTGACAGACGGCGATCTTGATGTCGTGTTTGCCTCTTCCTCTAAATGCGGAAAGGATAAGACCAAGTCTGTTTCTTCCACCATCTTCTTCCACTGTGACCCTCTGGTGGAGGACGGGATCCCCGAGTTCAGTCACGAGACTGCCGACTGCCAGTACCTCTTCTCTTGGTACACCTCAGCAGTGTGTCCTCTGGGGTGAGTATGACATCCGGGCGCTTAACATTTGTACCCCACATCCTCCCTTGAGAATAAGTGTATGTGTGTTTTTTCCCCAATGTTTTCTTGTGAAATATTCAGAACATGCACCAAAAAATAGAGAAAATGGTAGAAGCAGACCCCACATAGTCAGTGCCCCGCTCCAGAGCTTGTCAGCATCCTGCCACTGATTTTTGGTCCATGGCTGCGTCACCTCCCACCACCCCCAGTAGCAGTGCCGTTGTTTCCTTCGTGCATACCGTGCCCCGAATAGGGTCCAGTCAGGCGCCCCAGCTCTGTCCCTCCACCCCTTTCCCATTGCTGCCTCCCTTTCCTTAGCTCCTGGGAGGCAGATACTGGTGGTGTCTCCTCCTTGTAATCCTGGAACATCGTTTGTGTCCTAATACAAATGATTGTATGGTAAAGTTTCACTTTGATTTGAGTGTCGTATTTTTATGTTTGAATGAATGGAAAGCTTACTCTGCAGATTTGGAGAATCAGCATGGGTACAGAGGCAGCAGTTTCTGCTCTGAAGGAAGGTGGCACCTCCATTGGCTGTCTTGTGTCTCACAGCCGTTTTATACTTTGCCACGAATAACATGTTGTCAGTTGCTTTCCTCTTGGAGTTATTGTCTTATGTCACCCTGCCCACCATTTTATTTATTTTTATTTTTAATTTTTTTGAGACAGAGTCTTGCTCTGTCACCCAGGCTGGAGTGCAGTGGTGTGGTCTCAGCTTGCTGCAACCTCTGCCTCAGCCTCCTGAGTAGCTGGGATTACAGGCATGCGCCATTATGCCCTGCTAATTTTTGTATTTTTAGTAGAGATGGAGTTTCACCATGTTGGCCAGATAATCTGGTCTTGAACTCCTGACCTCAGATAATCTGCCTGCGTCGGCCTCCGAAAGTACTGGCATTACAAGCATGAGCCGCCATGCCTGGTCTGGCCCATCATTTTACATAAGCTTTTCATTCTCTGCCTTGAGACTTTAAGATCAGGGGGACATGAATTCTTTCCATGTAATTGTTTCCTTCGTGCCCTGTAAAAGGGACCGTAGAGTCAGCAGACGACAGGGGTAGGGGTCATGGGGGAATGAAGATCAAACATTTTACATCTTAAATCAGCACTCCCCCCGCCCACCCTTAACAATGGACATGAGCTCAGCAAAACCAGCTTTGTCCTGCGCTGTTCAGGGCTGTGTACTTAGGGATCCTTAGCTGCACAGTCAGGGAAAGAGGCTTTTGGTTGAAATTTCACTTGTGGTATTTTCAGCTTTTGAATGTTTATGGTGTTCCGGTGAGGCCATTACAAAATGAAAGGATTAAGACTGGAAGTTCTTCCTGAAAGAAGTGAAATGTGAATTTTCATAAAAGATAAAACCCAGCAGTGAACTTTCCCTGCGTTCTCTGTCATTGAGAGGCTGCAACTGCCATGAGGTGAATCGTGCCTCCTGACATGGCAGCTGGTCTTCTGTGTGGGTTTGAGGGACCAGCCCAGGCTGGGATCCTGTCCGTGCTGAATGTTTAGAGTTGGACTTCTGTGAGTGGGAAGAGCACCGTTTATAGGGCTCTGGTGTTTGACTCTAAAACCAGAGAGGAAGATTCTCCAGGAAACCTCAGTTTCATGATGTTCAGAACATCAGGAATGGGAGTTATTTAAATCCCTTAGCACACTGACAAAGTAATAAGGACTTTCAAAAAAAGAAACAGAAGTTGAAACCAAGAGCAAAAACTCAGATGGCAGATTTTGAGGGATGCAGGTACCAGCGGGGGGTGAATGTGGAATAGTGCCTGAGATTTTTTTCTTCCCCAAATGTTGTCAGTGTTGTACATTGTAAAATCATGTAAGTATGGCCAGATGTGGCTCACGCTTATAATCCCAACATTTTGGGAGGCTAAGGTGGGCAGATCACTTGAGGTCAGGGGTTCTAGGCCAGCCTGGGCAACATGGTGAAACCCTGTCTCCACTAAAAATACAAAAATTAGCCAGGCATGGTGGCACGCACACCACGAGATGGCGTCACTGCACTCCAGCCTGTGTGACAGAGCAAGACTAGATCTCAGGGGAAAAAAAAAAAAATCATGTAACTATAACAAACAGGTAGCAATGATCACCCTAATAGATGACCATTTTTAGTTCTTTTAGCTATTTCTTCTGGAATTTACCTCAATATTTTAAATTAACATCCTTTATCTCATCTATTGGCTTCCTGCAATAGTAGATGAAGATAGAACTCTCTTACACCTTCCTCCTACTTTCCAAAAATGGTTCTTTCACAATATTTGGTTAAAGTCAAAAAACTTACACGAAGTTAAAAGACAGGCATCTACAGATGGAAAGGGCATGCTGTGTGCCCAGCACAGTTAATGATGACAAGACCCACCCACTTACGAAACACCAGGAGAGCAGATGCAAAGAAAAGACTGTAAAAGCTTCAGGGGAAGCTAATTTGTTGTATTAGAAAATAATTCAAGAAAGATTAAAATACTTGAAATCCTCACTTTACATCATCGATAGGTTCTTGGAAACTACAACTTTACATGAAACGATGTATAGTGAAACCAATTTTTTTTTCTCATCAACTTTATAATGAGACAGTTTTGAAGGAAATGATGTTATTCAAGGACCTCCTATAGTCGCTTCACAGAAGGTTGCAGTTTCAAGGAACCTGTCAGCGACCCTATGAGGACACAGTGTACTGAACACAGTGGTGTCTGAGCTGAGAGGGGTAGCAGAGTTCCCGGCTTTTAACATTTCTTACAGTGATAACATCGTATGAAAGTAAAACTATTTTCTTGAAAGAAAGGAAGTAAGAGAGAAAAGGTAAGAGTCCCTAATTGTTTGGAAGACATACTGTTAGACTTCCTGTCTTAGTATGCATGCCAGTATTTCAAGAATAACCACTAAAATAATATAAATACAGTATGTAACTTCCAAAACAGTGGAGAAGAAAAGGAGAAGTAAAAATACTTACATCCCCAAAGAAGACAAGGAGAAAAACAAAACAGAAATCAGACAAGTAGAAAGTTCAGCCTAATATGGTAGAAATAAATCTAAATATATCTATAATCGTTAAGTATAGCTTGACTAAACTTGTCAGTTAAAAAACAAGTTGTCAAATTGGATTTCAGAAACAACTCTGTTTACGGGGAACATGCCTAAAACAAGGATACAGAAAAGACCAAAGTCAAAGGACAAGAAAAGATACACCAGAAAATAATCCGAAAGAAAGCTGCAGTAGTTATGTTAATATAAGATAAAATAGGATATTAAAGAAAAATATTAGGGATAAAGAGAGTCATTATATTTTAAAAGGGCCCATTTCCTAGGAAGATACAAGAATCCTAAACTTCCGTCTACCTGATAAAAAAGCCCCGATCCGTACAGCAGAAATTGACAAAACCACACACAAGAAACAATGACAAATCCCCCTCGCTTAGTGATTGCTGGGTTAAGCAGACAAAGAGTAAAGCTTTTTTGGAAGATTGAGACAGCACAGTGAAAAGCAAGATTTAATAGATGTGCATAGAACACTGTTCCCTGCAGCAGGAGAACGCTGTTTTCCCAAGCTCACATCAAACACTTAGAAAACTTTATCAAAAATTAACCACGAAGCAGGCAAATCAGCAATTTCCTTTTTTTTTTTTTTTTTTTTGAGACACAGACTTGCTCTTTTGCCCAAGCTGGAGTGCAGTGGCGCAATCTTGGCTCCCTGCAACTTCTGCTTTCCAGGTTCAAGTGATTCTCATGCCTCAGCCTCCTGAGTAGCTGAGATTATGGGTCTGTGCCACTACCTGCTGGCTAATTTTTGTATTTTTAGTAGAGATGGGGTTTCACCATGTTGGCCAGGCTTGTCTCAAACTCCTGACATCAGGTGATCCACCTGCCTCAGCCTCCCAAAGTGCTGGGATTACAGGCCTAAGCCACTGTGCTCGATCTTAAGTCAGCAAATTTCTGACTGATGCAATTAACTATATACATGATGCGCTTAAGTTAGGAACCAAGAACAAACAACTGAAAACTAGAAATACATTTGAAGACTAAAACCCACCTCTGAATAATCCATGGTCCAAAGAAGAAATCAAAGGCAGAAAGTAAAATACGCTTAGAACCGAGTGATAATGTGTCTCTTGGATGCATTTCGAGGGGTCCTGAGTGGCCGGAGCTGCTTCTGGGTGAGTGGGTTTCTGGCTTGGAGGGAGATGTCTGCAGAGCTCTCAGACCTGTCTGTGGAGCGTGGTGGTGCTTTTGCCTAGAACTGGACGGCCAGGGCACCCTGCTGTGGTTTCTTGTCTGGCTGATGTTTTGGATTGTTTGGCTTAAGCTGAACTTAGACTGAGAGGCTGTAGCCCTTGCGGCCGCCGCCGGCAGGTTGGCCTGTTGCCCTCAAACTCAGTTTTTTGAGCAGCCGGCATCATTCAGCAGCGCCAGATGAGCTCGCTGGGGTTGCCTGTTATCTCGAGCAGACACAAGAGGAATTGCTGTTTTTGTGATCCTGTTCCTGTGTGTGGGCCCGAGTGACAGAGGGCCAGAGAGATCTTAGAAGTGTCCCAAGTTGTTATGCCTCTTGAGTGTCATGTGGCTCTCTGAGCCGCAAGGTGAAGGGAAGGTCCCCGTGGTTGTTTCTCATTTCTATTATTATTGTCCTGACTCTGTTTGAGTGTTTGATGTCATGGAAATGCCACTGCTTTTTTCCCACAAGTGTGCATGTGGGTCTTGGGTGGGAATGGTGAACACCCGTTGGTGAGGCAGTCTGGTGTGCTCCGAGAGCCCTTCTCCTTGGGATGGAGCAGGGCTTGGAGAGAGGAGACGTGTCGGGCTGTGCTGGGCTGTGGCTGTTCCCCTGGGCCCCGCACCCTGATTGGTGGCCACCACTGGCCCTGTTCTGGCCTGTTTCTAAGGCCCCTCGGGGCCCTTTAACCTGTGGAGATGTATCCTCGTGGTGGCTGTGCTCACTGCTTCCAGAAGAAATTCCCAAGAGGACAAGCTTTGACCCTGGAGAGAAGGGTGGTGCTTTGGGACAGCCTCTGCCCCTACCTGGTCCTGGCTGTGGGTTCGGCCACTAGAGACGGGGCCGCATCCCCTCCGCCTGTCTCCCTGTGTTTGGGTGAAACGACAGTTCATGGGCCTGGAAGCAGTGCTTTTCTTGTTCTGTTTTCCTGACAACCCTGCCCAAACTCCATCATCAGGTCAAACTTTTTGCAGCCCTTTTCCATGTGGAGTGGGCCCTGTGGCCTTGTTTTCTGGGCAGGAGAAAAACCGTAAGAATCATACATGGGGTTTGGGAAAGTCCAGAGCTGCTCTTGTCTTGGCGGACTCAGGTCTCAGGTTGTGGTCCCCCGTGGCGGCAGGAACCACCCTTGTGAACACGGCTCCTTTTCCTGTGACATACCCTTGCAGGGTGGGCTTTGACGGCGAGAAATCCCTGGGGACCGACGAGCAAGTGCACAAGGGGCTGTCAGGAGCGGAGCCCAGGCGGTCGCGCGGTGCTCAGCCCCTGCTGCTGGTGGCACTCACCGGCTGTCTGCTGTGCCCTCCCTGCTCTACAAGAAGGAGAGGAGGTGAGTGGGTGCAGGGCGAGGTGGCCTTGGGTGGACGCAACACCTCACCCATAGCTCATCTTGAACTCAGTTTTGCGGGGATTTCATTTACTTCATTTCTGCTTACTTGTTTTTGGAGCCTGCAACAGCAAAGGTCTCAAGTTCTTGGTTCCAAACTCTCTGGCAAGCCAGCCCCCAGCGTTGTGGTTTTTAAACGCCTTCTTTTCCATCTGATGACCATGCCTGAGCCCCTCGCACATCGACGTGCCTGTGTCTTCTAGGACCATGGTCCTCTGTGTCCAACGTTGGGTAGAACATTAAACGGCATCCTTCCAATGGTGCCTTTTCCCACTGAGCAGCTTGGCCCCGCTGCCCCATCGCCCACGTCATAAAGGCAAGAGTTTATTAGGTGCCCTTGCCTATGTACAGCTATGATGCCATCCTTTTGGCCCCACTTCGCCTGGGGTGAGAGGACTCGCCATGTGACTGTCAAGCAGATTTTCACATCAGGAACACCAGTGTTAGTGGCTCTGGCCTGGGGGCACGGAGCTGGCCCAGTGCAGGTGTTCCTGCTGCCACTGTCACTTTGCCAGTGAGCCACAGCCCAGTGAGAGAGGTGGTCAGCAAAGTACCAACTCGTGCGGAGGTCTGCACGTGAGCCAAGATGCACCACTGTAACTCCAGCCTGGGCAACAGAGTGAGAACACTGGCTCAAAAAAAAAAAAAAAAGTACTGACTGTGGCCCTTCACACCCAAAATGCAGAATGGGACAGCAGAAGGTCTGGGCCGGGAAGGGCATGTGATGTCCGTCCCCGTGAGCCACCATCGGGCAGGCTTCAGGGCGGTGGACTGGCGTGGTCCTGTTAGAGTCATATGTGAAAAAGTCCTTGCCCAAATGTTAAGTTGCTCTAGAGGGCCCTCTGCTGTTGGATTCCAAAGCCCATGTTCTTTCCACTCAGTCACAACAAATACATTAGGGTAGAACCTGTCACGGGGGCTGCTTATTTGTCATTCAGAATGTGGGAGAAATGCAGCCCCCACCAGCCCCCTGGTGGGGCAGATGGGGCGGGGCTGCGGGGATGGGGCTCTTGCCCATGCCCTCTCTACCCTGGAGGAATGATTGTCTCCTTTTTATTGTCTAGGGAAACAGTGATAAGTAAGCTGACCACTTGCTGCAGGAGAAGTTCCAACGTGTCCTACAAATACTCAAAGGTAATTTTCTGTGGCGAGTCTCTTGAGGGCCTGCCTCCCCGGCCCGCGCGTGCTGCGCTGTCCCTGCTGTTGTCACCAGGGATGCTGAGGACAGCAGTCACAGGCAGACTGGAATCCAAAAGGGAAACAGCACCCGTTGCCTCAGCCGCTTATCCCAGCACATTTTTTTTTTTTAATTTTTTTCCCCTCAAGTTTCTCTCGTGGTTACAACTGATTTCTTTGAAGTATTTAATATGTAGGTTGTTTCCACTGTTTTTGGCTGTTCTTTAAAAACACACACACACGGTAGTGGAGATAGTTGTGCATCTAGCATTTGGATGATGTCTTTCAGATAAATTTCCAGAAAAGAGGCATTGTCTGGATCAAAGGACATAATGTTTGTGGTCTCAATGGGTGATGATGAATCACTTTCTAAAACTAGGCTTTTGACTCGAGTCCTTCCTTTGACTTTCCTCTGCTGCCATGCAGGGGGGACCTTTCAGTCGATGAGTAACCCCGAAGAGCCCCTTCTCCCCCAGCGCAGCTGGTGGGTCACTGGTCTCCTTTTCGGGTCCAGGCCATCCTGAACGCCTTCTGCTTGGCCCCACCCTTGGCTGTGAGACTCCTGCCAAATGGCCCCACTGTCACCCTCCCAAACCCTCCTGCCTTGGTGCAGTCTCATTAGGAACAGGAAGGTGTTGCCAGCCCTGGTCTTCCTTTCCCTGCGAACTGGAGACGCAGTGACCGTGAGGACAGTGGGCCAGTTCTTCCCCAGCTCGTGCCAGCAGAGGGCATCCCTGATAGGGTGGATGGTGGAGCAGAATGGGGTCTCCGAGGGGGCTCACGTGATCTCTGCTATTGATCCCTGGCAGGTGAACAAGGAAGAAGAGACAGATGAGAACGAAACAGAGTGGCTGATGGAAGAGATCCAGCTGCCTTCTCCACGGCAGGGAAAGGAAGGGCAGGAGAACGGCCATATTACCACCAAGTCTGTGAAAGCCCTCAGCTCCCTGCATGGGGATGACCAGGACAGTGAGGATGAGGTTCTGACCATCCCAGAGGTGAAAGTTCACTCGGGCAGGGGAGCTGGGGCAGAGAGCTCCCACCCGGTGAGAAACCCACAGAGCAGCGCCCTTCAGGAGCGTGAGGACGATAGGGCAGGGCTGGTCAGGGGTGAGAAGGCGAGGAAAGGGAAGTCCAGGTCTGCACAGCAGAAGACAGTGAGCTCCACCAAGCTGGTGTCCTTCCATGACGACAGCGACGAGGACCTCTTACACATCTGACTCCGCAGTGCCTGCAGGGGAGCACGGAGCCGCGGGACAGCCAAGCACCTCCAACCAAATAAGACTTCCACTCAATGATGCTTCTATAATTTTGCCTTTAACAAAAACTTTCAAAAGGGAAGAGTTTTCGTGATGGGGGAGAGGGTGAAGGAGGTCAGGCCCCACTCCTTCCTCATTGTTTACAGTCATTGGAATAAGGCGTGGCTCAGATCCGCCACAGGGCGGTACCCTGTGCCCAGGGTTTTACCCCAAGTCCTCATTTAAAAACGTAAGACCAGACGCATCTCAAAACAGAGGGCTGCATTCTAAGAAACCCTTGCTGCTTTAGGCCCGATAGGGTGTTTGACCCCAGTATATTTTAGCATTTTAATTCTCTCCCCCTATTTATTGACTTTGACAATTACTCAGGTTTGAGAAAAAGGAAAAAAAGAAAACAGCCACCGTTTCTTCCTGCCGGCAGGGGTGTAATGCACCGGTTTGTCCATCCTGAGACGGCGAGGCTGTTGGTGTGCGGGACAGTTTCCGGTGGGATTTTGAACTGGTCATTGGTGTGTCCCCTGAGTTGCAGCTCATTCTGTCTCTTTTCTCTTTTGCTTTCTGTTTCTTAAGGGCACACACGTGCGTGCGCGCACACACACACATACGTGCACAGGGTCCCTGAGTGCCTAGGTTTTGGAGAGTGCGCCTGTTCTATGCCTTTAGTCAGGAATGGCTGCAGCTTTTTGCATGACATCTTCAAGCCTGGGCGTACAGAGCACATTTGTCAGTATTTCTTTCACCGGCTGGTGAATTCAAACAACCTGCCCAAAGATTGATTTGTGTGTTTGTGTGTGTGTGTGTTTGAGTAGAGTTGAGGTGTCAGAGAAAATGAACTTTTCCAGATTTGGGGTATAGGTCTCATCTCTTCAGGTTCTCATGATACCACCTTTACTGTGCTTATTTTTTTAAGAAAAAAGTGTTGATCAACCATTCGACCTATAAGAAGCCTTAATTTGCACAGTGTGTGACTTACAGAAACTGCATGAAAAATCACGGGCCAGAGCCTCGGGCCTAGCGTTGCACTTGGCCTCATGCTGGAGGGAGGCCGGGTGGGCACGGCGTGGAGGAGGAGGGATGCGCTGCTCGCGTTCTTATTCTGGCGGCAGCGCCTTTTCTGCCATATTTAGTGGATGACTTTTCTCGCATTGTAGAATTGTATATAGACTCTGGTGTTCTATTGCTGAGAAGCAAACCTCCCTGCAGCATCCCTCAGCCTGTGCCGGTTTGGCTGGCTTGTTTGATTTCAACATGAGTGTATTTTTTAAAATTGATTTTTCTCTTCATTTTTTCAATCAACTTTACTGTAATATAAAGTATTCAGCAATTTCAATAAAAGATAAATTATTAATTGGGTGTTACAGTTTTTTTCCTTGATAGTGAGATGTTCCCGAGCGAGTTGCCAGTCCGCCTGCCTGTCTTTTCTTTCTGTTAAGTGACTGAATTTGGGTTTTGACTCTGGTGTTCTCGTTGACCCTTTATGAGGAGCACTTTCATTTTTCTCTGGAGTCTCCTGGTCATAGGTGTTAACTTTGGGTCCAATCTGCCTCCCCTCAGCTCTTTCTAGATCTGATTTCTTTACCTTCTCCAGGCCAGCCTCGGGGTGTGGTCCTGTTCATCAAAACAATGAACATGGAGTTTAGAGTCCAGTGAGACAATAAAGCTTTTTTGTGTGCAACCTAATCTAACACAGGAATGTTTTCTCTTGAGTAAGCTCACTGAGTTTTCCATCTTAAATTACTCAGCAGTGACTGAGAGCTACCTGCATGTTAACCTGGAAGCAGGAAATTACTCCAGTGTTAAAAACAAACCTCTTAGACTCAACATCCTATCTATCCTCCATCTCTTTATTTTCACCGTCGAGTCCAAAAACCTCAACCATCTAATTTTTCAATTATCCAATTGGAGTTACCTTTTTAAAAAAGTTATTCTTAAGGACGTCACAATACCTTTCCTGAGGAAGACATGTCAGGGTCTTCTAAAAGTTTATGACCAAAGAAAGACGGTGGTCCTCAGGCATTCTACCCAGGGGGCTGTTCTCCAGGCCATTCCCACCTCCTGCTAAGACCATGGGGAGCCCTCTCTGTAAGGAGGGGCATATGCAGGGACCTGCCCATCCCCTTGGTAAGCTGGATGGCAAAGAGGTGTGTTGTCTGCACCGCTGGCTGCCTGCTAATGTCGCTGTCAGTGGGGAAGGAGAAGTGACAACATGTTTGAGTGTATTTGCTTTGACTCTTAAAAACCCAAGCCTCTGAAAAAAGAGTAACTACTTGCCAGCTGTTGTTACAGGTGATATTTTTAGGAAAACATACCATGTGACGGCAAATCAGAATTGGACTCTTCAGAGAAATGATTTTATTGATGGAGTACAACCTGGGTATTTAGCTTCCTTTTAACAAAATTTTCTGTGCCCCTTTCTTGAGACCGTCCATGAATGAGAGAGACATAGAATAAGAACTGGCATGCTAAAGATGGAACAGGCAAACCCCACACCAAGGAAATCCATAGTGAAGTGGAAATCTGGTTCTTATGAACATTTTAAGAGCATCTGAAGCCTGTACTTCACCAACCCTAAAGTAATACATGACACGAGATGATTCCTCAGGAAGGAACATATAGAGTGGAGACAACATACAGACATTAGCACTTACAGGACGACTTTCCCTGAGGCATTTGAGACTAAGTTCCCTCCCTTCACCAGGCATTCCTACAAACGAGGACCTTCACACGACTGAGATGCCACCTGGTGATTAAAGAACACTTTGGGCTGGTCCGATCCATTGTACAAGTTAAAGGACTGATGGGTACACAGATCTTACCCCGTTGGCGATCGGGTCACAAGGGCCAGTGTGTGTGTCACCAGGAGGTCATATGGACGAGACTGGATTTCTGGAAATACCCTTTACCAACTCTGAAGAATCCCATGGCTCAGGGAGATGCACTCATGCCCTTTTTTTTTTTTTTTTTTTTGAGACGAAGTCTCACTCTGTTGCCCAGGCTGGAGTGCAGTGGCCGGATCTCGGCTCACTGCAAGCTCCGCCGCCCGGATTCACACCATTCTCCTGCCTCAGCCTCCCGAGTAGCTGGGACTACAGGCGCCCGCCACCTCGCCTGGCTAGTTTTTTTGTATTTTTTTAGTAGAGACGGGGTTTCACCATGTTAGCCAGGATGGTCTTGATCTCCTGACCTCGTGATCCGCCTGCCTCGGCCTCCCAAAGTCCTGGGATTACAGGCTTGAGCCACTGCGCCCGGCCGCCCTTTCTTTCTTCTCTGGCTCCACTCTGTCGAGTCGTCGTTTGTTGGCCTCTTGTGTCCTTGAGTCATACTTTATGTCAGTTCTGGACATTGTTCTGTGAGAATGGGGTCAACGGGTAGGTGGTGCAGGTGAGCTGTGTGTGCAAGGCGGCAAGATTGCCATGTTGGGGACAGTGTGGCCCGGGGGTGTTGGATAGGTAAGGCAGAAGCAAGCCCAGAACTTGGAGCCTGCTGTGACTGTCACAGTAAGGATTTTGAACTTGTCCTGAAAGCAGTTGAGAGCTGTGGAAGGGCCAGATTGAGCTTTTGAGAAAGATAGTCTAGAAGAAAGTAAAGAGATGGAGACACTTCAGCATCCAGATGGGAGGTTGGGCACGGGAGCCGTGGCTGTGCTGAGCTGAGACGCCTCAGACTGCCGGCAAGGCTCTCTCTCAGATGGGAGGAAGTCAGGTTTTTTTCTTTTTCTTTCTTTCTTTTTTTTTTTTGAGATGGAGTCTCGCTCTGTCGCCAAGCTGGAGTGCAGTGGCGTGATCTCAGCTCACTGCAATCTCTGCCTCCCGGGTTCAAGGGATTCTCCTGCCTCAGCCTCCCCAGTAGCTGGAATTATAGGCGCGCACCACCATGCCCGACTAATGTTTGTATTTTTAGTAGAGATGGGTTTTCACCATGTTGGCCAGGATGGTCTCAATCTCCTGACCTCATGATCCACCTGCCTCGGCCTCCCAAAGTGCTGGGATTACAAGCATGAGCCACCCCACCCGGCCAGATCTTTTTCTTAAAGAGGGACAGACTGAAGGTAGGCTGTGAATGGTCAGTTATTTGTATTTCTTTACCTTTTAAGCTATTTTGTAGTTTGACCAGTTTGCAAATCAAACTGAATAAAAAGTAATTGATAATGTCGTTTTGATGCTCAGTGTTTGAGGGAAACACAATCTAGTGAATGGGGTTATTGGTTGTCACTTGTCACACCTGGGAAAGTAAAAATAAAATGAGGGGACTCACAGCCCAGGTGAGGTCACCTGGCGCCACTCAGCACCAACCTGGAGAAAGCAGCCTTGGGATGCTGGCCTCGGTGGCAACCAAGAAGTGATGGTGGGTTGCTCGAGACAGGGTGGAGCACAGAGCCTGGGAGGAAGCAGGAAGTCAGGTTCAAGAAAGGACTGGTGACCTTGCCTTTGGCTTCAGGGTTTTATTTTTCTTTAAGACATTTTGAGACAATGTGTAGACATGTGAACTTACAGGACAAAGAACTCTTTTACCCTGAATCATTTGAGACTAAGTCCCATCACCAGACATTCCTACAAATGAGGACCTTCACACGACTAAGATGCCACCATCAGAACCACAATGTGTGGGGACGGTACTGCCAACTAAGCGTCATGCTGTTTCAGTGTTGACCGCTGTCACAATGATGCCCTTTTCAGTAGAGCAGCCTGTGATGGTCACGTGTTGCATTTGATCATTGTGCCATTTGGTTTACTTCTGTCTGGAAAGTTTCTCCTTTCTGCAACTCCATGACCTTGACACATGAGGTCACTCTTCTCACCCATCCCATATCTGGGAGGGGTGCCTGCTTTGCTCTGCCCCACCCCGCAGCTTTAGGGCTCAGCTGTTCAGGAACAATTAGGGAGAGGGCCCTTGGGTCTGACTGCAAAATCATACTTGAACTAGAAAACCTTGGCATAGGCATGGGTTGTCATATAGCAACATTTTCCAAAGTGTGCCCCGCGGAACACTTGTTCTGTATGTTGTTAACAGATGTTTCGCAAAAAATGGAAAGGACCTGAGCTCTAAGTTTGGGAAATGCTGAGTTAAAGTGAAACAGCTTTGCCTGGTATGAGACCTCTCAGAGTCTTTAAAGGAGAGTTGCTGAACGAAATCACGATAGAAAATGGCCAGCAGGCCTCCAGCTATGCAGCAATTCCTGGACATTTGCCTGTGTTGCCTGGGGGAGCTGGTGGCCTGTGGACCATCCACTGGGAAATCCCCTTCTGTGGCGAGGTTCTGTTGTTTTCCAGAGGCTCCCATGGAGCACGCTGGGTGGGTGGACTGTATGAGACCACACCATTGATGAGCAATGAGGCCCAAACAGGTATATGAAAAAAATGCTCAGCACCACTGATCATCAGGGAAATGCACATCATAAACACAGTGAGACATTGCCTCCCACCTGCCAGAATGGCTACTGTCAGAAAGACAAAAGACAGCAAGTGTGGGTGAGGATGTGGAGAAAAGTGAACACTTGTCCACCTTTGGTGGGAATGTAAATTGGTACAGCCATTATGGAAAGCAGGAAGTTCCTCAAAAACTTAAAAACAGCTACCAGCAGTCCCACATCTGGATGTATGTTCAAATGAAATGAAGTCAGTGCCTTGAAGAGATCTCTAAAAGATCTCTGCAGCCCCTGTTCATTGCAGCATTATTCACAATAGTCAAGATAGGGAAAAAACATCAGGGTCTACTGACAAATGAAGAAAGATGGATCAAGAAAATGTGTGTATGTATACACACACACAATGGAATACTGTCTTGAAGGAAATCCTGTCATTTGTGACAACATGGATGAGCTGGGAGAACATGCTAAGTGAAATAAGCCAGACACGGAAATAAAAATTCCACATGATCTCACTTATTTGTGGAATCTAAAAAGGTTGGACTCAGAAGCAGAGAGTGGAATACGGTGGTGACCAAAGGCCAGAGGGTGCGGGACGTGAGCAGATGTTGGTGAAAGGGTACGGAGGTTCCGCTATGCAGCATGAATGAGTTCTGGAGATCCGCTGTGCAGCATGATAACTACGATACTGCTTTGTGTATTTAAAATTTTCAGAGAGAGTAGATCTTGTGTTCTTTCCCCTTTCCAAATAAAAGGAAATTATTCGAGGTGATGGGTATGTTTAGCTTGATTGGGGCAATGATTTTGTAATGATACGTATCTCAAAACATCATGTCGTTCACCGTAAGTATACAGTCGACCCTTGAACAATACAGGTTTGGACTCTGTAGGTCCATTTACATGCGGATTTTTTTTTCAGTAAAAGTTACACGTGGTGTGTCTGCCCCTCCTTCCACCTCTTCCGCCTCTGACACCCTTGACAC